TCTGTTTCTAGAATTGCTGTTCTTCTTCTCTTCCATCTCCCGTTGGATTTGTAGGTGTTTGCAATCTTTAGATAAGCTAGATAGCTACCTGAAGTAGTCTCAGCCTGCTACTTCTCTGCCATCTTGACTCCTCCTCCTTAACCAAACCTTTTTTTAAAAAATCAGGGTCATATAGTTTTAACTAAGTTTTTTCCAGTTAACATTAATTTTATAAGATACCAGATTTGGGCATATAATCAATGATGGTTGTTTAGTTTTTTAACCAAAAAAGACTAAATACATGTATATGTACTGTTTCTCTGGAAAGAGTCGTAAAATTCAAAATTTTAAATTTCGAACCATGTACATATATTACTTTCTCAAAAATTAGTAACATTGGGTTGCCTGGGTGGCTCAGTGGTTTAAGCAGCTGTCTTTGGCTCAGGTCATGATCTCAGGGTCCTGGGATCGAGTCCCACATTGGGCTCTCTGCTCAGCAGGGAGCCTGCTTCCCTCTCACTCTCTCTGTCTGCCTCTTTGCCTACTTGTGATCTCTGTCAAATAAATAAATAAAATCTTTTAAAAAATTAGTAACATTTATTTTTTAAAAGTCTATTAATGTATCACTTCACATAGACCAAGATGGCTGTAATTTAAAAAAAATGTGTTGGTGAGAATGTGGAGAGAGGAATATAAATAGTGAAGCACTGTGGAAAACAGCTTGAAGATTCCTTAAAAACTTAAACATGACCCAGAAATTTCATTTCTTGGATATATTCCCAAAATAATTGAGAACAGGTACTCAAATATGTGTACATATATATTCATAGGTGGAACCATCCTGTTTGTGTCTCAACAGTTGGATAAACAAATTGTGGTAGATAGACATACAATGGAATATTATTCAGCCTTTAAAAGTAATTAAATTTGGGGGTGCCTGGGTAGCTCAGTCTTAGGTGTCTAACTCTTGATTTTGGCTCAAGTAATGATCTCAGGGTTGTGAGACTGAGCTCTGAGTTGGGCTCTGCCCTGGGCATGGTGCCTGCTTAAGATTCTTTCTCTCCTTCTCCCTTTGTCCCTCCCTCCCCCCAAAAATAAAGGAATTAAACTTTGATATAATATTGATACATCTTGAAAACTTTATGCTAAGTGAAATAAGCCAGACACAAAAGGTGAGAGTATGATTCCATTTATATGAAATATCCAGAATAGTTAAATCCACAGAGATGGAACGTTGATTGGTGGTTAATAGGAGTTGAGAAGAGAGGATTATGGGTAGCAACTGCTTTAGGGGGATTTTATTTTGAAGTGATAAAATATTTTGGAACAAGATAGAGGTGTAATGGTTGTGCAACACTGTGAATGTACTAATTGCTACTGGATTGTTCACTTTAAAATACTTTTATGTTATGTGAATCTCACCTCATTTTTTAAAATTTTAAGTTTGTTAGCTATAGATTCAACTCAAGCTATGTGAAAGTTCCAGCAGACCTTTCTGCAGAAATTGATGGGGTCTCAAATTTCATATAAAAACACAAAATGCATAAATAGAACAATTTTGAAGACAAAGACAAAGTTGGAGGACTTCCACTTCCTAGAGTCAGAATTTAATATAAAACCACAACTAACGGGGTGCCTGGGTGGCTCAGTGGGTTAAAGCCTTTGTCTTTGGCTCAGTCATGATCCCAGGGTCCTGAGATTGAGCCCCTGCTCAGCAGGGAGCCTGCTTCCCCCCCCACCACCCTGCCTGCCTCTCTGCCTACTTGTGATCTGTCAAATAAATAAATAAAATCTTAAAAACAAAACAAAACTACAACTACGAATACGGTGTGGTACTAACGTAAAGGTAGACATATAGAAGAATAAATAGAATTGACAGTTGAGAAATAAATCCTTATATTTATAATTAATTGACTTTTTAAACAAAGGCACAAAGGCAGTTCATTGAAAAAACGATAGTCTGTTCAACAAATGGTGCTATGACAACTGGATATCCACTAGCAAAAAAAGATGAACATAGCCCTTATCTCACATCATACACAAAGCTCACTCAAAAGGGATTATACTCTTACGAGCTAAAACAAAACTTCTAGGAGAAAACAGGAGGAAATCTTTAGGACTGTAGACTGGGCAAAGATTTCTTAGATATGACACCAGAAGCACAATTCATAAAAGAAAATTAGTAATTTGATCCTCATCAAAATTCAAAACTAGTGTACATTGAAAGATACTGTTAAGACAAATAACAGAGTGAGAGAAAATATTTGCCAGACATGCCCCATAAAGAATTTGTATCTGGAATTCATAGAACTTCTACAACTTAAGAAAACAAGTAATTCAGCAGCCCAAAAGATGGGCACAAGATATAAGCAGACATTTACCAAAGAAAGTGTATAATTGGCTAATAAGTGCATGAAAATATGCTTAACATTATTAGTCATTAGGGAAATGCAAATTAAAACCACAATGAGATACCATTTCTCACCCACTAGAATAGCTATTACATAAGACAATTACAGATGTTGGTAAGGATGTGGAGTAACCTTTATTGCTGTCATAGATGTAAGTGATACAGCCTGTTTGGAAAATGGTTTGTAAGTTTCTCAAAAAGTTACACATAAAATTATCACACAACCCAACAATTCCACTCCTATGTATCTATCCAGGAGAAATGACAACATATGTTCATACACAGATTTATGAGCAAATATTCATAGCATTATTCAGAATAGCCCAAAATTGGAAATTCTGTAAATTGAGTGGTGAGTGGTGAATAGAGAAAATACTATATGTTCATATAATGGAATACTATTTAGCCATAAAAAGTAACAAATTACTGACACATCTACATCATGGAAAAACCTCAAATTTTAAGCTATATAAAAGAAGTCAGACACTAGAGATTGTATATTATATGATTCCATCTATATCGTATGCCCAGAAAAGGCAAGTCTATAGTACAAAAAATGTATTAGGAGGTTCCTGGGGCTATGAGTGAGGAGGATTCATGGTAAATGGACAAAGGGGATCTTTCTGGGGAGCGATGAGAATGTTGTAAAACTGACTTATGGTTACACCATTTGGTAAAGTTAACTAAATATCATTGAACTATATACTTGAAATGGGTGAACTTTTTTGGTAGAAAATCTACCTCAATAAAGTTGTTTTTAAAAAGTCCATTAGCGGGCACCTGGGTGGCTCAGTCAGTTAAGGATCGAGTCCCACATTGGGCTCCCTGCTCTGCAGAGAGCCTGCTTTTCCCTCTCCCTCTGCCTGCTGCTCTGCCTACTTGTGCTCTCTTTCTCTCTGTCAAATAAATAAATAAAATCTTTACAAAAAATTTTTTAGAAGTCCATTAGCTAGTTTTCCCTTCCCATTGTTTGGTTATATAAGCAAGAGATATTTATAGGCCTACATGTTATATTGTAGCAAATGGTATACCCAGTGATGAATAAGGATGGTTTGTGCCTTCAAGGAGCTTAGAGTATGTAGTAGGAAGGAGAGATGGTTAAGCTTACCTCTCAGTGTGATAAGGACTCTGTTAAGGGTAGTCACAGTATTATGGGATTGCTAGAGGGTTTACCACTGGAGATTTCACCTAAACTGAATTCTGTAGTACAACTGGGAGTGAAAGCCTATACACAGGGAAAATGTGATGTGTTTAGGTATTGTTAGTACACTCACACAGCTGGTAGACAGGAAAAAAAGGTAATAGTGGCATATGAAACAAGAGATCAAGCTGGAGAGAAATGCACAGACCAGATAATTACAGAACCTTGATCACTAAGAAGGAAAAGTACTTTTCAAACACTTCTGTGTGTTTGAACTTTATCACTTCAGGAAGGAGGATTAGCGGCTATTGACTGATTTTAAGCAGAGGACTGGGAGGAGATTTGGGTTTTAGAAATCCCCCTCTGACTGCAAGTCTTAAAAATAAAGTGTTGGGCTGTAAGTGAGTACTGTAGGCTATTGAAGTAGTAGTTACTTGGTGATAGAAAAATGGGTAGATTATGAAACATGATGGAAGTGACTATTACAAGACCTTGCTACTGATTGTAGGTAAGGAAAAGGAGGGTTCAAGATTGACTTTCAGAACTAATAACCATAACCACCTAATATCTGGGGATACTGTTCCTGGAGAACAAGGAACAGTAGAGTGGAGCAGGTTTGGGGGGCGGGGAATGGGTGTGATAGCTTTGAACGTGTGCTTGAGGTGTTTTTGGCATGTTAAAGCAGAGGCATGTTAAAGCAAAGGGGGATAACTTCAAGTGGCAAACAACTGTGCAGTGTCCAGAGGACTGTCAGTCACACACTGTAGTGGTTTATTTGCATAGTAGCAGAAGCACATGATAAAGTGTGGGAAGCAGGTACAGCAGTAGCTAAGGAAATGGATGAGGCTGCACAAGGGGTAAGAAGAGTTCGGCATGTTTACTCACTTCCGAATGGTGCCACTTTTGCGCTCAGCCAGGGCAAATCCAGGTTTCATGGGTGAGCCTGAAGAGCCTCTCTTTAAGAAAAGGAATACAGAGTTTTAACTATAGAACTAAATAAGCAAAAGTAATATTTACATAGACTGATAAAAGAAATCCCAACAAATAACAGATTTTCAAAAGTTGACAAATACTACAAACGTTACAAAATTCAGAATCATCACAAAATACTTTCTTATTGCACTTTTTATCTATATATGAACCACCATTTGAAATGCCAGATTTTGTGAAAAATTATGAATAATTCTTATATTCTTTGTGAGTACAAAATATCAATGGGAAATGATGAAATTATAACCAAACTTGGTATTTTAAACTGTTTTTAAAATAGAAAATTTGGCTTTTGGGGGATTTAGTCTTACATTGGTAGTATTTAATCCTTTTTTAAAAAAAGACTCAAACTACTGTTTATATCAAAACTGGGAAACAGTGAATAATAGTTAAAATTTGTTCATCACTAGATCTAAACAAATACAAATATAAATATTTTCTTAGCTGCTCTTTTTGCTAATGGGTTTTGTTATTTTCCAGATATAGCCTCAAGGATAATTGCAAAAAGCATATTGAAGTATGGGATCCTTCTCCAGAAGAAATTATTTCAAATGAAGTAAACAGCTTAAATCCTGTGTCTGTAAAATCTCTACCTAATGAGAATCTCCCATCACTTTATAATAAGGAACTGCCTGTACATATCTGTAATGTGATATCTCCTGAGAAGATTTATGTTCAGTGGTTATTAACAGAAAACTTACTTAATAGGTATATAAGGAAAACATATTACCTATGGGCTTTTCCCTATATTTTGTTTCAAAGATCTAGAAATCATAAATGTGGAATTTTAAAAACAAAATTATTTCAGCTAAATAGTTATTTTAAAGCTAGTTAAAAGTATACAAGTAGTATCTTTACTAGTTATTTTCACTGTATTAGAATTAGTCATTCTACGAATACCTAATTGGGCACAACCAGTATTCTAGGTGTTGGGGATATGGTGGTAAAAATATTTACATGTCTTTGCTGTCTTGGAGCTTAAATTCTAGTAGAGGGAGAGAGAGTGGACAAATAAAATAGTTAATGTAGCAGATGATGATAAAGACAATAGAGAAAAAGCAGTTGGGGAGGAAGGCAATTTTGGATAATCAGGAAGGACCTCAAGAAGACAGTTGACATTGTAATGGATCCTGAAGAAAGGGAGTAAGTAAACCATGAGGCTATCTGGGAGAAAATAATCTCAGGCAGAGGGAAGAGCTAGTTCAAAGATCCTGCAGTGGAAATATACTTGGGTATTCAAGGAAGAACAAAATACCCAGTTTGGGCAAGGAGGGACAATAGAAGCATGTAGTTGGAGCATTATATGTTGTAAGAAAAGTTTTAAAAGTTAAATTTTTTTCTTTATATAGTTTAGAAGAAAAGATGATAGCTGCTTATGAAAACTCAAAGTGGGAACCTATTAAATGGGAAAACGATATGCACTGTGCTGTTAAGGTCCCTGATAAAAATCAGTGGCGAAGAGGCCAGATCATCAGAATGGTTACAGACACACTGGTAGAGGTAAATGGAGAGTTAAAAATAGTAATTGAAGGTGAATGCATTCAATATTTTTATCCTGAAATTTTTTAGTCTCATTTTTATTATGTTATTCAGTGGCAAAATATATTTTAAAATATTGTCTTTCCACAGACTCAAAGTTATTGCTTTCATAGGTCTTGCTGTATGATGTGGGTGTTGAACTAGTCGTGAATATTACGTGTTTACGAGAACTTCAAGAAAACCTAAGGACAATGGGAAGATTATCTTTGGAATGCTCTCTTATTGACATAAGGTAGTTATTCACTGAATAAATTTTCTCACTATTGAATAATTGTATATCTTTTCGGTTTTGGATATGTTCTTGTCAGTTTTCATATTACTAACATTCTGAAATTTCATAAATCTAGTTAATTTTGAGGTTTTAAGAAAAGGGAAAGATAAAAATTTGGAGCACATAAATTTTAGTGGTACTAAGGAATGGAGATAGGTCAGTATGATTGGTATCTAGATAGAATTCAAAGTGTTAAATATTTAAAAACTTGAGGGACATAGGCAGATAGAAATAATATGTATTTCATAAGCTTAGCATTGCATGGAAAGCCACAAATATGTAAATTACCAAAAAATGAATTAAGATTCTGGGAAAGTGGGGCACCTGGGTGGCTTTAGTTGTTAAGCATCTGCCTTTGGCTCAGGTCATGATCCCAGGGTTCTGGGATCCAGCCCTGCATCAGATCAGGCTCCCTGCTTGGCAGGAAGCCTCCCTCTCACATTCCCCCCGCTTGTGTTCCTTCTTGCACTGTGTATCTCTCTGTCAAATAAATAAATAAAAATCTTAAATTTAAAAAAAAAAGATTCTGGGAAAGTGGCATGAATTAGTTGTGGGTTTTTTTTTTAAGATTTTATTTATTTATTTGACATAGATCACAAGTAGGCAGAGAGAGGGGGGAACAGGCCCCTGCTGAGCAGAAAGCACGATTCGAGGCTCGATCCCAGGACCCTGGGATCATGACCTGAGCCGAAGGCAGAGGCTTTAGCCCAACAAGCCACCCAGGTGCCCCGGCATGAATTAGTTTTTGAGTCTAATAGAATTCTACCATAAACACAGAGCAACTTGGATAGCAAAACTGAAGACTGCACAGTCTTTACAATAAAAGTGAGCAACTAGGTTTCCCTCTGTAAGCCTGCAGATTCAAACAGGTGTGGCATACCATGCCCTTATGTGCCCTTTTGGTTACGAGTATTTGTATGGAAGGAAGGAAGGAAGGCTGACTGAAAGTAGTATTTCACTGGAGCATGCAAGCCAGTCTGAGAACAGCAACCAAGACTGAGAAGGGAGTAATGCAAGATGCTCTTCAGAGCTGAATGCTAAAACATAGTGTGCCATAATTTCATGGTACTGGAGCTGTAGCCATATAACCTTTGGAAGTAAACTGATGCTCTCTTCCATGACCTCACACTGAGTAGAAACTGTTAGGAATAGAGCCTAATTTTAGCAAGTCAGACAATGGGGCAAAGGAAAGAAAAGATGCAGACAAAAGTAGGGGAGAGGAAAAAGATATCAAAATATGAGGCAATATTTTCTGTCATTTGGGGAAAACAAACAATTCTAGAGCCATGAAGCTAGGAAAGCAATTGTGATCCACCTCTTCCTTCTAAAAGCACAGGACATTTTTTAAAAGATTTTATTTATTTATTTGAGAGAGAGAGTATGAGAGGGGAGAGGGTCAGAGGGAGAAGCAGACTCCCCACTGAGAAGGGAGCCCGATGTGGGACTTGATCCTGGGACTCCAGGATCATGACTTGAGTTGAAGCCAGTTGGTTAACCAACCGAGCCACCCAGGCACCCAAGCACAGGAAATTTTATTTCACTTAAAACGTGAGCAAAAGAAAGAATTACAGTCAAATTCTGTATAAACTATTAAAAGTAAAAAGAATAAAAAGCCGGGGGCGCCTGGGTGGCTCAGTGGGTTAAGCCTCTGCCTTCGGCTCAGGTCATGATCTCAGAATCCTGGGATCGAGCCCTGCGTCCGGCTCTCTGCTCAGCAGGGAGCCTGCTTCCTCCTCTCTCTCTGCCTGCCTCTCTGCCTGCTTGTGATCTCTCTGTCAAATAAATAAATAAAATCTTTAAAAAATAAAAATAAAAAAAATAAAAAGCCAATTAATAACCCTAGAGGCAATGGAAACCCACCAAAAAGGCATGCTCACAAAATAATAAAACTATAAATTTCAAAATGAACTTAAAAATTTAGAAAATTATAGACAGTGAAGAACAACATAAAACAAAATTATAAAAACTCAGAAATAAGATTGATTACAGAAGAAGTAAATTTGAAATGAGAAATGACAACACTCAAGAAAGAGAAATAAAATTTAAAAATCATATCAGAAATACAGACTAAACTAGAAAAAAGCACAAAAGCAAATACACAATAGATAATGCCTTAAAAGAAATAGAAGATAGAGGGGTATCTGGGTGGTTCAGCTGGTTAAACATCTACCTTCTGCTCACGTCATGATCCCAAGGTCCTGGGATTGAGCCCTAAACCAGGCTCCCTGCTCAGCAGGAAGCCTGCTTCTCCTTTTCCCTCTGCCTGCCCCTCCCCCTGCTTGTGCACGCGCGCACGGGCTCGCTCTCTCCCTCTCTCTCTCTCTCTCTCTCTGTCAAAGAAATAGAAGACAAAAAGGAGGACAAAGTTTTAAAATTAAAAAGAACAAAAATCCAAAAGCTTTAAAACAAGATCTCTAAAATAAATTAAGAAAAGCCTCAACATATGTGTAATAGGAATCTCAAAGAAGAAAATTAAAAGAAATAGAACAAAATAAATGCTACAAACTACGATTCAAGAAAGTGTTCCCAAAATAAAAGATTACTTAGACTATGATAAAAGAGCACACTGCATGTCTTGGAAAATTAATTCAGGAAACCTGACACTCAGAGATTAGTAAAATTCTTAATTTATAAGAGAAAGAAGATCAAACCTTAATGTCAGATGGCATTCCACTGGAGAAACATTTTTTTAAATACTAAAAGAAAATGGCAAGGTATGGGTTTTATATTCACCCAAACTGACCTTTAGGTATAAAGATTACAGACAAACTAGGAACCACTCCTGAGGAATCTATAAGAGAACAAACTTTATTTAATCAACTGGAAGCGAGAGAGTTTGACATAAGAACTGGTAGTGAGTGTTACATTTATTTTTACCTAAAGAACAGAGACTAAAATGGTCATTGTTAGGGAAGCAGTATAGAAGGGAAAGTAGATATGGCACAGTTTCAAAAATAATGTAGGGAGATACAAAGTAAAGTATTCATGGAAAGTTGAATAAGTTTGCCTTTTGCCTTATTAACTAGGAATGAGGATTTCCAATAAGATACTGGGGGAAAGTTGTTAACAGTATTGATTTAACATGGGAACTAAGTTAATATTTTATATAAATATTATATATGTTAAATATTTCATAAAATATCTCATATAAACACATATTAGTAAAACCAGTAAGGTAAATGTAATTCTAGTATCTCAGAGAGAAACTTCTTCAAACGACTTTTTTTTTTTTTTTAAGGGAGGGGTTGGGGAAAAGGGAGTATGGCAGGGCAGAGGGATAGAGAGAATCTCAAGCAGGTTCCACACCCAGTGCAGAGCTTGACACACCAACATTTTACAACCCTGAGATCATGACCTAAGCTGAAATTGAGAGTTGGACTCGTAACTGACTGAGCCACTAGGAGCCCTTTTTTCAAATGACTTTAAAACATAAAATGCAGTCTGTACATCCCTACCAGAATATATCCTAAGGACAAAAAAATAACTTCTCCCCCCAAAAAAATCAACTGTTTTTTTCATTCATCCCAAAGTTGGTTGTAGTGTTACTGAAACTACTCTGTGTGTATTGTGGGATAAGTCAAAATTATATATGTAATATTGAGAACTGGTATGGTTGATACATAATAAAGATGGTAAGATTAAGGTTAATTTACCTTTTACTCCTGATTTTGAATCAGAATTATATCTAGAAACTCATTTGGTATTTTAATTGTCAAAAATACATGTCTGAAGGACCTAGTAGCAATGGCCTGTGCTGGTTTGTGAATTGTGGTCTCCAAATCCCATTTCCCAATAAAAGAAATTAGAGCTCTTTGGGACACTGTCTGATTCCAGATCTTGGACAGGAAATTTCGTACAGTATGAACCTAGAATATCTTGTCATAGCAAAAAACAAAGCTATGAAAAATTTGAGGTTATGACAAAAAGACTCAGTAGCCAATCTGAATAAACTTCTACTGACCAAATAAGGGACTTTAGCATTAGTAGGATAATTGTAATGCGGTAAAGCAATTGACATATTTTAAATCCCTAAGTTCATAAAGTGACTTAAAAAAATCTTAAGAAATCTTATTATTTATCTTCACAGGATTCTAGGAAACTATCTCACTATTCCAAAACAGGTGAATAAGGAAAATGAAAATTTGTCTTGCTTTTCCTATACTATCTGTATCTCAGTATAATCAAATAGTTGGCAAGGGGAAGTTGTTCTTTTTAAGTATTCCAAATAACAAAAGAAGAATGATTTCACTAGAATTGTACCATTTTACAACCCTAATAAGGAGTCTAGGCAATGATTGTCAGTGGCTGTTAACATAACAAAATGAGAATTGGGCATTATGTACTTCCTGATGGAAATACACATCATAGCCTATAAATACTATTGCTGAAAAAGTAGAAACCTGAATCTGATCAATACTGCATACCTAACTATGATTTTAAAGGAAACTCAAGGGACAAAGGAACATATTAAACGCCATGGGAATGCCATCAGCTAAATCCATTCATGGACACTGTAGAACAAATGACTCCGTTTCTTTAACAGAAAATTGTAAGGGAAAAAATTCAAAATAATGGTTTGAAAACTCAGGAAAACATAAACGCTATCTGAATGGTTGATATTAAGGAATTTTTTTAGGTGTATTAATGTACTGTGGTTAGGTTTGTTTAAACAGACTTTTATTGAAGCGTAATTGTTATACAATACAATATTCACTTCAGGTGTACCATATAGTGATTTGATATTTATATACATTACAAAATGGTCACCACAATAAGTCATTTGTTATTGGTACCATTTGTTACCATACAAAGTTGTTACAGCCTCTGTCTTATTTATTTTGTAACTGGAGAATTATACCTCTTCATCCCCTTCACCTATTTCATACATTTCCCCTCACCCCTCCCCTCTGGCAGCTACCAGTTTGTTCTCTGTATCTGAGTCTGTTTGTTTATCCATTTGT